TACACGAAATTCCTTAGTCCATACACTTTATTATTCTGTCAGTTCTCTCTCTACACAGCTTCTGTTCTGCTCCCATGCCTAGTTCCTGTCTTGCCTGATTTGTCTCTACATTAATCTGCGGTCCCCTCTCAGTTCTATCTTAATTCTGTCATCTTAGTTCCGGCCCATCTAGGTTCTCATCCATCTAGTTCTTTCCCATCTCAGCTCCTCTCCCATCTCCTTCTTTCTCATCTTGTTCTTCCCCATCTGGCTCTTCCTCATCTTCCATCTCGTTCCTCTAGTACTCTCTTCTAGCCCTTCAATCTAGTTCTTCCCGTCTTGTCCGTTCCTTCCCAGCTCTTACCCTCTTAGTTCTTCTGTTCTCTTTTCTATTCTCCGTCTCTTCCTCAAGTTCTATCCTCTAATCCTCCTCCAAGTCTCCTATATAATCCTCTTCAGTTCTCCTCAAGTCTCTAGAGTATTCAGTTATAAACTCAACCAAAGCAATCCTCCCCATCCAGCCAGGTTACCAGGCTTGAATCCTTACAGGGTTATAAAGGCAGGTAGGGATTTTCATCAGGCAGTGACTGCCAGGCTTTCTTTTACAACCCAAAAAGGGATTGGTTAAAGGAGGAGGTCAACTGAGAGCTAATGATCGGTTAGTATATCAAGAAGGGGATCTGTGTGCTCAGTCTACATTCCTAGAAGAAGTTGGGTAAGAAGTTAGGAGCCTATAATGTTAGTAATAGGAAAGGAGGGTCTCAGATAGCACAAGAAATAAAGCTATCCGCCTGACTAGGGAACAGGCGTAGTTTCCACGAAGATCAGGAGATTGCTTGGCCTTGGATGCTTGATAGGTATTTTAGATAAATACACTGTTAGGAGTTCTTGGAAGCATGCAGAGCATTATAAGAAAATCACTGTAGGAACCAGCTAATATATATATAAAAGCTAAAATATCACCAAGACTTCTAAAGCCATGGCTTGACCTTTGGAAGACTTTGTGATAGTAGCTGAATTCCATTACGTTTTCCTGTGGCTTGCAGCATTACAGAACCTGAGTACCCCATAAAAGAGTAATACTTGTTGTATTTATAGCCACAGATAGATGGGTAGATTGTGCCCTAAAACTAGAGTGCTAAAACTTCTCTGTTGCTGTGATAACACTGACCAGCAGGACTTGGGGAGGAGGAGAGCGTTTATTTGACTTACAGGTTACAGTTCATCACCACAAGGGAAGCCAGGGCAGGAGCTCAAACAGGAAGCTAGAGGCAGGAACTGAAGCAGAGCCCGTGGAGGAGTGCTGCTTACTGGATTGCTCAGCTAGCCCTTACACAGCCTAGGCCCCCTTGTCCAGGGATATAGCACCGCCCACAGTGGACTGGGCCTTCCCACCTCAATCAGCAGTCAGGAAAATGACCCACATAGCCCCATAGGCCAGTCTGGAAATATTCCTCAAATTAAGATTACCTCTTTCACCCAGGTGTGGTTGCGCACACCTTTAATTCCAGCACATGAGGCAGAGGCTAGCATGGTCTACAGAGCAAGTTTCAGGATAGCCAGGGCTACACAGAGAAACCTGCGAGACAAACAAAAAAAAAAGATTCCCTCTACCTGGGCATGTCTACTTTTAGGTCAGGTCATCGAAAGCTGTGACACATAGACAGATAACTACTGCATTTTTGGGCAGACCTGCACAGATGGCATGGTGGGTCATGCTTTTAATCCCAGTACTTGGGAGGGAGAACAGGCTACTCTTCTTGGCAAGTTCCAGGCCAGCAGGGCTAACAGCTACTGTTGCAGAAATACACGAGCTAAAAAGTGTATTGTATGCTGGGCGGTGGTGGTGGCGCACGCCTTTAATCCCAGCACTCGGGAGGCAGAGGCAGGCGGATCTCTGTGAGTTCGAGGCC